GGTTCCGGCTTATTACACTAGTACCAAAAAAACTTGGGTTTATCGTTTTAATAAAATTTTAAGAAGTCTCAGAGTACATTTATTTTATCTAAACAAAATACTTACCATGTTCAAAATGGTGCCCTTGATAACTATTATTATTATTACAAATACCAATAAGAGGATCTCAAACAATTAAAAAACATCCAAATGGCTTATAACAAAATTTGGTAAACATTTTTCAACTTTGCAATAATATAATTTATCGATTATTTTTAAAATTTGAACTACAACTGTAAGCAAGTAAATAAACCTCCTTTTATCTATCCACGTTCTAAGTACCTATATAATTTTAAAAAAGCTTTAACAGAAAGATCCAACTCAGTGATTCACATATTTTTGAAATATTGGTGAATATTTATCCAGATATGTATATGTAACTGCTTTGCTTTGTCAATAAATAACTATTTTTTTTATATTTTGTCTTATACTAAACTTAAATCTTAAATTTTCCAAGTTTAAAACAAATTATAGTTGATAAATAGTAACTAAGTCACAAATATTATAATATGTAAAACTAATAAAAAAAAATAAATGCTGTTCCACCAGGAATTAGTTATAGGATTAGGAAACAGTTGTAAATGATTTCATTCAGATGTGGGAATAATTTAGAAAAAATTCTATCTTTCAGTATTTTATGTTTTTTTGCCAATCCTATATTTTAACAATGATTCTACATTAGACAATAGACCTTATAGCGAATAGTTCTTCTTCTGTTAACTGAGCCCCTTTTTTAAATAGAGGTATATTTAAATGTATTGCTTTATCCTCTAAAAGATCTGATATATCAAAATCTTTGCCGCTAAAATAAATTCTCATGCTTTAATAAGTTCTAAAGTTCCGCATTCTACAGTAATTTTTCTATCTGAAATACTGCCTCTGTAAACATCAGATAGGTACACATAATTTCACCTTTTTCAGAGTATTAGTATTTTGAAGGTATTGGTTTTATAATATGTTGTATAATAGGATCATTATTTCAGTCTATTGGAATTTCGGTACATTCCAGAATAATTTTGTACTGGTCTTTCGAATTTCTTCCAATGTCCCAGAAGTAAGTTTTTTTAAGCAAGTGTAAAAATGCTTGGTCCACTTAGCAAATATTTTTCGGACAGTTCGAATGTCTACTGCAAAAATTGGTTTAATGTAGAATAAAACAAATTAAGTTTATATTTCATAAGCGTTATTAACAGTTTGATACATGTTCTTGAATTTTCCGATTTTCATTAGCAGGTGTTTCGGTTGAACCACACTTTTGTGTATCATTCTTAACAGTAATAATTCTGTTTATATTTGCTGTTTTTTTTTTTGTTTGGTGGCCTTACTGCTACACAAATTTTTTTTCGATATCTATCACTCCTCCCAGAGTCCTTCACTGAAGTTTTTACCATTCTTTTTTGTGAATTTAAGAAGGTACTGCATATTTTTTTAAGGATCCTCCATTGTCCTAGAAAAACAAGACAATGACAATGCAAGAAATTTGAATAAGTATTTTTTAACTCACCCAAACTTATAAAGGTATAACTTTCATCTGAAAAGGGCCTGAAAAATATTTTTGTGTGCTTGCTGATACTTTTTTCTGACCCGATAGCAATCAACCATCATTTTTTTAAAGCTTTATTCAAGAGGAATTTATGAAATTTAGCATTGTCAGTTTTATTGGAAACTGAATTGCATTGTGGAATACAACAATTGTAAGGTATACTGTAAAGTATTAGTAAAAGTATCCAAACAATTAAAATGTCCTAAATAACTTACTAAAACTTAAGTCACTCAAAAAATTGCAAAACTACTAGGAAACAAATACCAAACAATGTAAATAAATGGCAGAATAAAATTAGGTTACATTTTAATACCAAATCTTGACGCTAGCGCCACCTACATGCATGTGATCTATTTCGAATTAATGATAAAGATGTGAGTCTAGTAACATTTCATCAAATCCTAAAAAAGATACCCCAGCCTCAGATACTCATTTCAGGAGAAAGAATAAAATATCAATTTCCAGATTCAGTGGATGGCTAAATTTCTGAATATAAATATTTTATTATACTATAATTATACATAACATTAATAAAGTTCCCTTATAATTACATATTTTAAATAAAGTTATCAAAACATATTTGAGTGTCAATTACTAATCCTTGGATGGTTCAACTACTAATTTTTTTTTCATTTCGTTTTGTGTCAACTACTGACACTTTTGCAACAATTTTTGTAGATTTTATAATACATATTTAAAAAGCACAATTGTCCAAAAATTTATTTGTTAAATATTCAGGAAGGGATTAGATTACCTGAATATACATATATTTTTTAGTAAAGTTCAACATCGGTTTGAGGCTAAATAATGGCTTTTTTCTTCTTATAATATCAACTACTAGTACACATACCTTTTAATTGGGGTCATTGAGGCATATTCAGGGCAGATACAGAATGAGTGATACATCTCTCTCTCCATAATTAATTCAAAGAAAAAACAAAAAACGTTATGCATTTAAATGTAACACAGAATTTGTAACAAATGAAAGAAATAATTGTGTGGACACTGCAACACAGTGAAGGAATATTTTTGTATAAATTATAAAAAAATTAATTGATTTTTGAATTTTGTTTTATTTTAATTTAAATAATATCAACATATTTTGTTTGAAAATATTTGCCCTACATTAATTATTTTAATAATGAGAGGAACAGACTTCCTTTCTTTATTAAAATAAAGATTTGCAGTCACATGACTGCAGTCTTTAAATGTAGGAGCTATACCCTTATTTCTAGTGTTAAACCATTTACTTGCAAGAGAGAATATTAATACAGATGAGAACAAATGCCTATCATACTTTACTAGAAAATATGTTAACAATCTTTAGAATCAATTTTGTCACAAAATAATTTCTAATTCTTACAATTTTTTTTTTCAATACATTACCAAATAATATCTAAATTATGTACATTAATCAGCTGTAAAATCGTATGGTTCAAAATCTGTCCTTAATTTTTGTACTAATTTTTCTTCCTCATTCTTTCCTAACACACAAGTTCTCCAGTCTTCCCTTTCTTTCATATTTAAAATAGGACCAGATGCAAGAACTTCCCGTGCAAAATTCAGAGGAAAATTAATAGAACCTTGAAGTTTTGTATAAAGAAGACTGCCATCAGGTAGTTCAATAGTAAAATATGGTACTTTAGGAGGAATAACTTGGTCCAAGCGATTATATGAGTCTAGAGATTCCAATTTAAATCCTTGGCCTTCTGACTCATCTATAAAGATTTCTTTTAATTCTCTGTTAGCATTTTTTGGAATTGGAACAGCTTGCAACTGCATGTGGGAAGTCTTATAGTTTCTTTCAAAAAATACAGCTAGTTTACCATCGCGATTAAAAAATTTTCTCAGGCTATCTTTAAACAATTTTATTTCATCTAAAACATCTTTTTGTAAACTTAAACTAGATTGATGGTGCTCTATAGGACAAATGAGAAAGTGTTCATCAACCATACCACCTTTTGCTAGTGCAAGGTAGGTTGTATTTCCAACACAAATAATCAGGTGCTTTTCTACAGAAGGGCTGGCTAAACAAAACCAGCATTTACTCTGGTCAAATTCAATTTTTGGTCTCTTGGTTTTATTTTTACTTTTATGGTCATCCATTGGAGCATTCATATCGTAAAAATACTGACTAGTATTAAGGGTTTTTCTAGAATTTTTATGTATTTTACTTTCCAAATCATGAATATTAAATGGACAAGGAGTTTCGTCTATAGTTTTTTGCAATAATTCATTAATTTTCATTTTATCTAATGGTGTTATGCTTAAAGCATATATCCATTTGTCCTTACTTGAGTTTCCTACTCTAGCCAAACCTATAAATCTAGTTGCAACCTCAACTGTTGTATCGTGATCACCCAGATTTGGGCACCTGAAAGGTGGTCTTTCATAGTATATACCCTCAAGACCACTTACAATATATCGTGGCTTAAGTTTCATACACAAATAACCTAGAAAATCACTTGTGGAATTAACTACAAGAGAAACATTTTTAGCACCTTCATGAATTATATTTGAAGGCCATTGAGAACTTAATAATATATCCACACCTCTAAAGGAAGGATTTCCTTTAACACACACATCACAAAGGTCTGATATATCTTTCTCAGAATAAGTCCATGCTGTTGCAGAATTATTTCCTGATATACCACTAATGTATGCTATTTTTATGCCTTTACTGTCTGTATACACTCCACGTTTTCCTAAATAATATACATTATTACATATTTCATACTGGGACTCATCTGAGGGGTACTGCTCAACATGTTCTTGTTTATTTGGCCCTAAAATGTACGTTGGTATAGGGACTTTTTTATCTCCTAATTTATATGGAATAAATTCCTTGTTATTAATGCCGAAAAAGTTTCCTACACATAGAAGGCAATCAAATGGTCCAGACTTTTTGTTAATAGTTTCAATTCTTTTAAATAATGCATCAAATTTTCCTTCTACGTCGCCACAAAATAATATTTTCTGTTTTTCACTCATTTTATATGATGTAAACAAACATTTACAATCCTGTTTTGCCTTATAAAATTAAAAATAAACAATTATCATAACAGTACAGTAGCAAACCAAATGACTGGTAAACGAAACTTATCAGAAGATTCAGAAGTGTCAGTGACAGTCAGTCAGAGAGGTGATTGTTGGTATGAAGTTAGCAATGTTTCCATCGACACGTCAATCGTGGGCCCTAACATCAAAATGTCATTCACTGTCTTTTGTCAAATCTCAGTAGTTTTATCTAGTCCTCAACCAATTTTTTCTTAATGCTCTAATTATCAAAAAAATGTATTAGCGGAGTGTTACTGTGAAAAATATATCAGTAAATTGAAATATTTATTAGGCTATGTTTACAAAAATAGAATTTAAGTTTTAAAATAATATCTAATGTATAGATCTGTCTACAGCTAAAATGAAGAAATTATTTTCCAAAATTGAAACTAAAATCGACAATACATCTCGTGAGAGCAATAATTATACGGGAAAGGTCTTTATAGTTGGCAGACAAACTGTTACTGTGGAGGATGTTCTTGCCGAAGGTAAAATACATCTTAAACTTGATACATGTGTAAAGGGGGAGGATACACTTATCAACTTATTTTATGACATTACAGTAAAATCAATTAGAAGCATAATTATTGTTATATTTTCTTCTGTAGGTGGATTTGCCATAGTTTATTCTGTTAAAGCAAGTAATGGAAGTAGGTATGCTCTGAAGAGAATGTATGTCAATAATGAGCAGGACCTTAATGTAGCTAAAAGGGAAATCCAAATTGCAGTAAGTTTATTAATTATTCATTAATTTTACAGATATACATAAAGACAATATATTATAACATGTGTACATCCAATAAATGGTTAATATTTTTATGGGCAGTTTAAGATACTTCTATTATTTATAATTATTCCCATCAATAATTTTATAAAATACAGACATAAAAGACAAAAATAATATTACTGCAGACTTTAATTTAGTACAACTAATAATGAATATATAGTAAATAGATATTTCTGTACTATATAACTAGTATAGGAAAGAAATACTACAACAAATTTAACACTATTGAATTAATTTGGGCAAACTACAAGTTATATTACAACAACCATAATGGCAGAGATGGACATTCTGATAGTGTTGTTATAAATATGTGGAAAGAGGCACTAAACCAATGTAACAGAGAAATTTAGGAAAAATGTGTGAGACATCCTCATGAAATTATTAAAAAGTGGTATATCCAAGGAAAAAATTTGGTTTAACAAAGATTTACTTAATGTAACCTACTTAAATTAAATTTAAAAATTTTAATCATACAAAAAATAAAAGTAGGAACAGTACTTAACAAACATTAACAAAGAATGTACAAAACACAATGACATCAAGCTGTCACACACAGTTCTTAAACTGAGCTTTAAATTCTTTTGGAATACTGTAACAGTCCAACCTTTGGTAATATTGATTAACAAACCTTGGTGTTCTAGACATGAAGGAATTGTGTCTGTAGTTTGTACCATGGGGTCTAACATAAAAGGTGCCTTGTTTGTCTACTGGGAACATGGAGATTCATTTTTTCCAATATTTGAGGACCAAAAATAATAGAGTGAAGTATACTATAAAACAGTGAGAAGTTATGTTGAAGGACCTTTCCATATTTGAATAGTTAATTCCTTCAATCCTCTGGTTTTGTTTAAATGCTACAAATCTTAAGAATGTGTGTTGACTCTCTCAATAGCTTGAATATGTGTGTTATAGTGAAGGGACCAAGCACATGAACAGTAATCTAGGTGGGGTCTCACAAGTGAACAATACAAAATTTTTATGGATGGGATATTTAGAAAGTCTTTAGCACAACATTTGATAAACCCTAAAAGTTGAAGTGATTTTGAGACAACAGATTAGTTATGGGGGATGATTAAGACCAATCTGACTCACAAGAGAGGGACAATCAATTCTATCATGTTTTAATTTAAAAATCTAAGTTCAACCAAACAGATCCCTCCTCACACTTATTGCAGGCAAGTTCATAGACCTCTCCATGATAGTGTAGTCATGGTCTTCTATTCTAATCCAACTTAAAGGCTCACACCTGTAGGAATTTATGCTGGACCCTCTCTAATGAATCAGAATGTATCCAGAAATAAGGAGGCCATAAATGGAGACGGAAATTCATTTCCGTGAATAAACAAAATAATCAAGATAATAGAGTCCTGAGGTAGATTTCTATTCAGTTTATTAAATCTTCTTGTAGTGTTTATCCGTTTTGGATCTTTGTGACCATCATGGCAATTTATACTTTGCACACTGCTCCTCTGAAAAGATTTGTGGTTGTTGTGTTGAACTATGTAAGTAGATCCTTACTTCTCATTTTCTATCTACTTTTCCCTGTAAAATTAGTTGGAGGAATCATATTGATTTTCCTGATCTGACCAAGGTATTCTATTTTGGCTGTTTTTATTTTCTTTTTGCATTCTTAATAAAACAGCCTGATTAGTAATGTGGTCAGTAGAAGATATCGTCAGGATTCAACAACAAAGCCACATTTAGAAAGCCTCAATTTTCCTGCAGGTAGTGTCTGTGAAATTCTATGACTCAACTCTGTACAACAGTATAGGAAAGATATAACATTGTAGTAACCTTATTTTTATGGGTATTGATAAATTATGACATTTGAATAGCTTAGCTATTTGTTGAAATACAGATTTAGCTTTTTCTATGCTACATTTGATTTCTGGGGAATGGTCCCAATTTTCATTGACGTTAGGACCTAGGTAGGTACATGTTTTTACTCATTCTATTTGTTGACTGTACACATAGTTTAGTGAAATACTGTATCTCTGACTTACCTATTCATTAACTCCTGAATGGCATCATTACTATCAGCCAGTACCAAAGTGTTGTTCATTTTCTAAAGTTGAATTGAGTTTTCTATAGAGCAGCTCCTCTGAATGCTCAAGTGTGTTGTAGCATTTCTGTTTGTAACCAACTTTATATCTCCTTGGGTGGTCTAAATAAATGTAGAGTTTTTGTTTTAATATGTCCAGGCATTGTTGTGCTTTGTTATTTTCTGGATCTTGTTATGAGTGTTGTGGGGTGTTCAGCATTATTTCTTCAGCTCTTTTGATTACTTTTCTACTTCTCATTCCTCAAATGTATTCTGTAATCCTCCTCAACCATCGTTTTTAGGAGTGTGCAATTCTATTATCAGTCTGAAGCTATTTTCTTGTGGCATTGTAAATTAATTACTATTAAACTGGGAATAAGCCACAATTAAAGATAAAAATATGTTTATTGACGTTTCAATTTCCACTTCGGAAATCGTTCTCAAAATACAAAATTTGTTTAATATACTGTTTGTATTTTGAGAACGATTTCCGAAGTGGAAATTGAAACGTCAATAAATGTATTTTTATCTTTAATTGTGGCTTATTCCCAGTTTAATAGTAATTAATCTATTATCAGTCGTTTTGATATTAGTACTTCGTTGTGTTTTAATCTTAATCTCCATAACATTAGCAATTGCTGTTGCTGCACAGTAAATCAGCATATGCCAATATTTCAATGAATGGGCTTCTGTGATCTAATTAGGTAGGACTTCAGTGTTTACAATTTGTAACAGTGCACCTAGTTTCTTAAAAGAGTTTATTTTTGGTGTCACTGACACAGGTACAATTTTATTACGTTACATTACAATAATATACAGTAACATTAATCGATATAGAAATACATTAAATATTGGTACAATTATTAATTATCAAATTCTAAACTATGTTTCTTCTTCTAAATTTCCTGGTAAAGCCTGGTTCCATAGAAGAAATTAATAAGGTTTTGGAATTGATCTGGAGAACTGAGAATATTTTGTAGGTTTCAACTCAAAAGATTCTTTATTCTATTTTTGTTGGAATAGGGAGAGTCTACGAAAATATGTTTAACAGATAGAATATTACCACAGTGTGTACATGTAGTTGGATCTTGGGAGGTCATTAAATGTTTAGGAGTTAATCTTATATGGCCTATTCTAAGTCAGCGATTTAAGATTTTGTTTTTTCATGTCATGGAAGGAAACTCAACCTTTTAACAGTGGGATGGATATCACAAAGCTTGGAAGGAATTTTCTTCCAGTAATATTCTCAAGACATTTGAATGATATTTTTAAAATTTTAAGTGCAATTTTCAAAATTTTATCGCCAATTATATTATTCTCCTCCAAGTGGTGATCTTCTATAAATGTATTTTGAAGTATTTTGTCATCTTCAGACTGAGATTCTTTGGAACCTTTAGTTTTTTTCTATCAAATTAAACAGCATTTTTGTGTCAAGTAAATATCCTCTGACACTAAGATATCACTTGGTTTTGCTTTTAATAGTATTTCGATATTCTGTAAAAACCGCCGCCGAATGTTTTCCTAAAATATACCATCTAATCTATATTTAAAATCTATTGGCAAAAGATGATCATTTGGACCACCCATTCCTTGAATATAAGAAAAAAAGTTCTCTATACTATGTTCCATGTTAAGAAAATAACATTGTCGAGATAAAACATTTTCCTTGTTTAAAAGAAGTAATCGAAAAAGAAGTAGTAAACGTTCAACCTTACACAGGAGAGGGGCATATAGAAATGTTGACCAGACTGAGTCATGAATTCGCTACCCGATTTAGTAACTTCAACAAAATTGAAGCGATTGCTTGGTTTGTATATTATGTGTACATGCCCCTCGATGCAGAAAGCTTATCCCAAACAGCATTTCAGCGAAAGCAGACCAGAGACTGAATTAGAAATAGTCACACTGCAGAATGATTTGTGTTTGAAGAGCATTGCCGGAAAAGAAAATTTTTGGTGTCTAGTGTCCAAACAGAAATACCCAATCCTAGTCAATGTGGTTTAGAAAATTAGTGCCCTGTTTTGCCCCACCTACCTTTGTGAATCAATGTTTTTAAACATAAAGTTCATTAAAAACAAATACAGAAACCGACTAACGGATGAACATTTGGACTCATGCGTTAGACGAGGAATAACAAACTGCCAACCGGATGTTAAAAAACTAACAGACATGATGGACTGTCAATCCTCCCATTAAAACAAAATACATATGAATTTTTTTCACCATATTTAGTTTTTACTTCTTATTCTCTTAAGTGTACGTCTATAATAAAGGTTTTTAAAACAAGGTAGATCTTTGGTGCTTGGGATTTTTTTAGTAGCTCTTTCCTGTAGTGTGATTGCCGACCCCTGATGTAAATGCTTGACAACACTGTCAGAAATCTAGCACTAATCACTACGATATGAAGTCCTAGCCGACATCAATAGAAATGAGCAATCCCTTCCACTTTTCAATTTGTTCTACGCGCAACCTCTCAGTTCTCGCTTGTCACTTGTCAGATTGTAATACACGTTTCGATTCCTTGAGTAGCATACCGGTATTTGTGTATCGTGTCCTGATACCATATTTTTTTTAATGCACACTCATTTAAACACGGACTATAAAGATAATTTATGAGTCATATTAATGTTAGGTCAATTTTATCAATCTCAAGTAATAGGAAGATATGTTTTGTTTTTAATTTACTTTATAATTATTGTGTTTATCAAATAACGCTATATGTATTTTCTACTAGTGCATAACAGTATTTTATGAACAATTTATGATAAACATTAACAGCTATATCCTTCCCATTAATATATTGATGATAAAGCAGTGTTAAAACCATAAAGATAAAGTGTTTATTAATTGTGATTTATAGACTTAGTATTTTACTAAACACTTGATTTATTGATCATTT